AGCAGGAATCTTGTCATTAGGATGCAATTATAAAATGAGCATCACACTTCCTCAAAGAAGCATTAAACTGTGTGAGTAATGACAAAAGGTGCACAATCCGGGTTGTAGCCACGTTTGAAATAGGCGTGCCTGATTTGGATAGAGCTTTTGCGAATAAACAAATTATAATTTCCAGAAGGGAATGACTGAGGAACAGTTTCTATAAACGTATGTACAGTCGGTACAAAACTAACATCCGACACAGCTCTTACGTATTTCCTTTCCTTGCTGCAGATATTCAGATTGACTCATGTAAACCAGATCCAACTACAGCCATACTGCCTCCATCAAGTGCATCAACGGGCTTTACTGCGTATTCAGGCTCTGATTTGACTGGAACCATCACAGCGGTGCCCAATGTGACTGAGTCAGAACAACCCCTGAAAAATATAAAATTTCGTGTAATATGTATCACTGAAACTATATCACCAACAGAGGGGACTACTACAGAAATGCCAGAGGAATACTCACCGATTGACTCTCCTAACTACACTTCCCGAGCTGCCTTTAAGAATGACGCCATTGTCTTTGGAGGTAAAGGCCTTATATTGTAGCTGTTTAATCAGAAGAGCTGATAGATGCTCATAGATGTTAGGAGTAAAACGATTTACTGCTATTTTTGTTTACCCTTTTGATGTAGCTGAACCTGGGGGCAGAATGGGAGTGTTACAGTATTGCAAAAGCAAAGCTTATGAGGCAGAGAATTTTAAGATAATTTTTAAGTAAAAGAAAGATCTTACTATTATTGTATAATTTTTGATAATATTTTATTATGAAATGGTGAAAGTTCATTCTGGTTAGTGTGATTTGGGTTAAGTAAATTCCTGATAAAGTCTTAACAAACACCATGTGCTCAGAGTAATGGAAAACTCAGCAGGCTCCTAAAAACAAAAGCAGCCAAGAAAGTTGTAAGGAGATTTGTTGTTCTCCAGATATGGAGGTGTTCTCCAGATATGAGGTGTGAATAAGCAATCCTAATATACAGCAACTGAGAAAAAGGCTACGTATGAGGAAAAGCATTCTAGCTGTGAGGATAGTTAATCACAGAAATGTGTTCTCTAAGCAGGTTGTAAAACCCCTCTGATCAGCAGATTAGAAAGGCATCTGTCAGGGGTTGCCTAAATACCTATTCTAGTCTCTCTTAAAAAAAAAAATTAGCAGTAGTAACTAAGCTTTTGAGATTCCTAATACCTCCATTATTGACTTGATGTTTATGTACCTCTTACACTAGGCTTTTTTTAGAAGAATCTGAATTGATGCTCATGGGCCTTTAGAAAGTCAGACTTAAGTACATACAACAATTCTATGCTTACCTTACTTTTATGTCTAGGTATCCCCACTGCACTTCTTGTACTGGCAATCATATTCTTCATTATTTCAGTTGTTCTAGCAGTCTGCTATATCAAAAAGTAAGTTTTTTTCTTTGTCTTTTTTTTTCCCTTACAGACTGACTTTAATCCTAGAGTACAACCAGTGAATATTTCAACTATATAGCTAAGGAGCAGAGAAGTAATGATAATGACATAAGTGTAGCACAGCGAGCAAAATCGCAATCGCTGTTGTTATGCAGATAACGTTTGTTGTCGCTGTTGCTATTCCCTGTTTTAGAAAAGGAACCAAAGACAAATACTGCCTATTTTTGATTAGTCAGTCATGCCTAGTGTGACATATTTCCAAGTGTGCCAAAACAGCAACACTGAAGCATGCATCTGTTTGAATATAAGCCTGTTTATGCAGTTTTATTCTTGTCTCTTTTTACATCAGACTCAAGGTAAAAGGTTTTATTCTTGGACTGTTATCGTGCTCAGAAAAAAAATAATTGTTGAGCTCATTTGTTATTCATAAAGATCTTCAACCCAGTGCATCATTACATCGTACCAAAAAGTTGTATTTCTCACATCCTAGCCCAGACGGCTTTATCATTATGTACCACCAATCCTGAATATACCTTGTCTGCTTTGTAAGAAAAAAATAGAAAAAATTCTTTATTTACAAAGGACACTGCCTGAAAAAGCACAATAATCTAGCATACCACTGATCTCTGTGAGATTTGAGTATGGCAAAGAAAGTTAATTCTAGATATTTTTCACCTTATTTCTAGAGTGATAGTATCAAACTATGCCAGTGTTTCTGCTTTACTTTTCTTTTTTCTATTTAAAGGTACAAGAAAAACTTTCCATTTTCAAGCAAGAATCAGCAAAAAGAAATGGTCGAAACTACTGCTCTCAAAGAGGCCAATTCAAATGACAAAACACCCGAGAAGGAAACAAATAATGGAAAAAAGGTAGAAGAATCTAAAACCAAGCCTGATGCCACAGTAAAATGTCTAGAAGCAGAAGTTTAAGGGGAAGAATGTACGCTTCTTGATAGGAAAATAAAAGGAAGCACACAGAACTTAGCAATGCTTTTAAACATGGGTGATTGTAAATACTCATGAATTAATATTTTCTCTATCTTAACATATGAAAACTTGGTTTTTTGATAATTACATCTTTAGCTATAAATGCTCTTGCAGAAAAGCATGGTATCTTATTTACTTGAAATAAAAAATGATATTACAGTTCATTTTTCATGTTTAACAAAAAAGTAATTAGGAATATGCTATTAATGACATGCCATGTGTTAACTATTTGCGCGCAATTCAATCAATATGTAATGAAATGGGTGTTTTCAGTCTGGCTGGAGGATATCTGCTAACTTAATGTCCAAAATAAAATTATGATACTGTAGCTCTTCCTCATGTAGATTAGCTTATTTCCTTTAAGTATGTGCATACTGTTTTTAAGAAGTTTGTGTACAAACAGAAGACATAAGTCTGTTTACTAAGTGAGTAAAAAAATAAAGGCTCAACCTCCTGTCATTCCAATACCCAGGGAAGGGTACAAAGATGCTGATGTTTTTATATATATATAAATGAATAGCTTTCTTAGATATCTTCATCGTATCATAATTGACTGTTTTATTTATTAAAACCTGTATCGTTCTTCTGCATCAGATATTTGACAGGGAAAGAAAAAACCTTAAACTGTATCTCAACAGTTATATTTAAGATCTTTTGTGTATATTTAAGTGTGGCTTTCATAATAAAGCTCTCAAGTGGTATGGGACGTTTACAGTTCTTCATGAAAAAATAAAGTATGGTAGATATGTTTCTCTGGACACTTTATTCTCATGGAAACTGTCTCACACTAAAAAGAGCTCATATAATCTTAATGTCACAGAAGTAATTTGTTATTATAAAAAAACTACACTAGCAATTTATCAATTCTTTACTAAATGGTTTGGATAATTTATTTTTCCATGTGAAGGAGATTATGGCAAAGGAAGTTTCTTTTTAAATCAAGCAGCTTGAAAAACATAGTTTTAAATAAAATAGCAATAGAACTGCTCACCTATATGGTGTTTTTTACAGTGTAAGATACTGGGTTATGAATTTTCTTCTTTTTGATTCACAGAAACTTAAAAATTGGCCAGTGGTTATATATCACACCAGATAGTGAGGATTTTTTGGTTTTGTTTTTGTGGGGTTTTATGGGGGTTGGTTGGTTTGTTTGTTTTGTTTTGTTTTCTTGATAGCTCAGGAATATTTCATGGCTCCAAGGGTCAGGACTGCGTTGATATGCAGTCCATGACTGCCATTAAAGCTATACTACTGCAGGAAGACTGTGATTCAGTACTGCTCTAAAAACCACTAACTTCAGATGTCCACCACCAGAATTTCAGTGGAAAAATGTGCAACAGAGGGACACACTAGATACAGCCTTCCCACTCAGTGAAGTAATTCATCTCCTTGCAAAATACTGCACTGAGTGTCTCTCTTGGCAACCTGACTGAGAGCACTCTATGTTGTGTGAGCA